AAATTCTTTATTTTGTTTTCCCCTGTGGGAAGATGGTATTCCACCCACAGCACACTTCTTCATCACAGAAGTTGATAGTAATGATTTAGTCTGGGAAATATCCCAATCAAATGTCACATGCCACCAAACAGCAGGAGCTGAAGGCTTTTGGCCACTTTGTTGGCTACTGCTGCCTCTGAATATCCCTTATGAGATGATGTGTAGCTTGTCAGTAGATTTGGACATTGAGACTTTTCAAAATCCCCTTAAAATAGATGTTTCTAAAACCCAGGAGACTTTTCCATCTGTCTCCTCTGCAGAATTCATGTTGGGGTGGAATAAATAATGCAACCTTTTAGAGTCTGAGAATCACCTTTTGAATATTCTCTGTTTAATAACACATAGACTTGACTTTCCCAGTGAATTGATTACCTGCTGTTCATTTTTTAAAGAAAATATAATCTTTGGGTTTCTGCTTCATTGGAACTGAAATCATAAAGATGTTACTCTGCAAGTATTTTGTAAGAGAATCGTTGCTCAAGAAGACTTCAAAAAATTTTCAGAGAATATTTTAACTAATTGCAAATGGAATTTCATTTTGGTTTGGGGCTCTGAGTTTATAAATTTGGAGTGGGTTCTAAAATTAGCCATGAGCTACTCCCAAGCTGGTTTGAGAGGGAAAAATAAAGAAAGAAAAGAAAAGAAAATGTTGAGATAGCCTCTTGGTTCTCTTCAGAGCTTTCAGAGTATCCTGGTAACTTTCTAGGCCATCAGTGGTCAAAGGCAATGGGTCCCTGTAGTTTCATATGGAACATTTCCTTCCAGAATGTACTTTCTTTATAATACTGCAAGACACACTGTCATCATTGGCTTGAGAAGACAGCATACTTGAAAGAACTTTGGCTGAAGAATTAATTTCTTTACCCCTTCCCATAGAATCCTAAGTTTATAAACCCCTCTAGCCAAACTCAGATCTTTAGTTTTACCCACCATTACAATGTGAAAATATTTAGTTTAGTTTTCTCTTCAATGAACTCCAAGATCTTGCCAATGTTGGTCTGTTTTAGTTCAATTTTAAGACATATGTAACTGGCGCAGCTAATTTAACCAGACAAATGAAGTGCTTTTCTTAGAACTGAACACACACTCTAACACACGCTCTAAAATCTGAAGATCTTCTCACTTCCATTCAAAACACAAATAATCAGCCAAAGCAAAACGATCCTCTTTAGCCAATTAAGAATCCAAATTCCTGTTATCCAGTAAGCGGAAAGCACACCCTGGGACAGAATACTGGTGGCACTATTCTCCGGGTGAGCAATAAAACATTTACCCTGAGTCACCAAGCTGAACTGTGCCTTTCACATCTTGCAAGTCTTGATTACATTGTTTCACTAGTCATGAGGGGCAATTCCTGAAAATGCTGCCAAGGGGCCTGGCATTGTAGAAATTTGCCCTACCTCTTTGTGGACATGATAGATAGCCACGGTATAATTCTGCTTCACCAAGCTAGTCTGCAGCTAGGCTTTGCTATCTGCAGCCATCTGTCCTGTAGTTCTAGAAGCCCAAAGGGACTCAGAGAGTACTTTTACATGGAGTGGCTATAGCTTTCGCTGTCCTGGAAAAATGGGTAGATTGAGACTCTGGGCACATGCAGGCAGTGTACTTTATTTCTCCTCTCTAATTGTGTAAGTTTCCTAGGTCTCTCCGCTCTAGGAATGCACTGAATTTCAGAGCACAGGTTAGCCATTTTCTCCTCGGAGATCTTTTTTCTTCCAACTTGTGTAAAAAGTAAAGTAGAGGTTCATCTTCAAAGCCTTTCCTCCCCATCTAATTAGGAATAAATAGTAACTTCTCTTAGAAGCAAAATTTATTTGAAGACCTGTGCTAACATTCTTAAATACCTGCTAGCCATAATAAAGAAATCAATGTACTTTATGTTCTTAGCTCCCACAGTTTAGCCTAAATATCTGCCCTGGCATGCTTATACTGGTCCAAGCAAGCATTGCATCATAGCCCATTTATCTTCCTTATTTGAAGGTGGTTTTACCTTTCTCAGCATTCCACAAGTTACTTCGTCCTTCCTTTGTTCTCCTCTGTGTTTGCCTCCTTAAAAAAGTTCGAAGTTGCTAGCCATTCTGGACAAATACAGAATATGAGGTCCTGTTCCAGCCAATGGAAACTGGACACAGCAGTAGGGTGGACGCTTCGGGTTGTAAATGACCCTGTCTCCGTTGTTCGGTGTACTCTCATGGCAAAACTGCTGGTGAGTGTACCCTTTCTGCAGCAAGTATAAAAATGACCTTGCTACGGAAATTAAATTTATGTTCAAGTGCTATTTCTTTACAGCACCGGGGAACAAGCATTTCCCACACTTGGATTCAGTAGAGTTCCCCAACCCCATCAACTAACATGCATATTGTATTTGTTAGTTTATGTCTGCCTCCCTTAGTAGAATGTATTCTCAGTGTCTTGAGCTCCTGACTCAGTGCTTCACACATAATTTTGCTGAATGAATTATTGTGAGCTTGACAGATGGCCATGCCATGACGTGTGGGTCTCAGCAACCTTTTACCTCATGAAATTAGCCCTTTCTTGACAGTGGGATGCCACACTGCTTGTCCATGAAGGCTGGCTTAGGATATTCTCCACTGAGCCCTGAAACACTGATGCCCTTGAACAGAAGCACAGAAAGTCCGTTAACCATGGCCTGAAATCCTAGGGATAGTCTAGTTAGCTCGTGGTCCTTGGTGGCTAACTTTGCACCATCAGTTTAAGGGAAGCATCTTCCCCTGCGTGGCAATGGGGACCAAGTGGGCCCCTGTTCTCTGGGTCATTAGGAGAGTGTGAGTATACATGTGACTAAGGACATTCCTTTTTCAGCCAACCAGCCCTGGAAGTCAAAAGTTGTGTTGGTGAAAAGAGTCAAATTCTGTACAATATTTGAAGAGATTTATTCTGAGCCAAATATGAGTGACCATGGCCTGTGACACAGCCCTCAGGAGACCCTGAGAACATGTGCCCAAGGTGGTCGGAGTGCAGCTTGGTTTTATACATTTTAGGGAGGCATGAGACATCAATCAAATACATTTAAGAAATACATTGTTTTTTTCCAGAAAGGTGGGACAACTTGATGCAGTGGGGGCTTCCAGCCTACAGGTAAATTTAAACATTTGCTGGTTGACAATTGGTTGAGTTTCTCTAAAGACCTAAGATTGATAGAAAGGAAATTTTCAGATTAAGATAAAAGATTTGGAGACCAAGGTTCCTTTGAAGTCTTATAGCGGCTGCCCTTAAAGACAATAGATGGCAAATGCTTCCTATTCAGATCTTTAAAAGGTGCTAGACTATTAGGTCTAATCTCTTTAGGACTGGGAGGGCCTGGAAGAAAAAGATCTAGCTATGTTAATAGAGATTCTTTACAGATGCAAACTTTCCTCCACAGAGGATGGCTTGCAGGGCCATTTCAAGATATGGCAAAGAAACATGTTTTGGGGAAAATATTTTGATTTTCTTCCTTGTCTCATAATGTTATACCCGAGTCAGTTGGAAAATAAGTCATGATATATAGTGTTAAATAAAACCCATCTGATGAGAATTTATGGTTTGTAGAGTATGACACCCCAGACTCCTTAGATAGGAATTTGGGCAAGATAAAAAAAAAATCAGAGCTTAGTCCTCAGGTGGGAATATTTGTTTTGCACTTGGTAATAAATTTCAGAGTGGCCATACTGTGGCAATCTGACTAGTCCAAATTTTGAGCTCGGTGTCCTAACCCAGAACCACAAAACCATCCTGGTTGCTAACAGACACTATGTGGTTACAAACACAGATAGAAGTCTTTCTATGTAAGGAAATGGGAAGTGGGGGGTTATACTACAAAGGTTTGGATGTAGACAAAAACTTTTCTGATTCCCTGAACTGGAGGGCAGTTTGTCCTTTGAAGCAACTAGGTTCTCATTTCAGCTTTTGTTCAGAGGGAAAGTTACTTCTTTGGGTATCGATTTAGGTCAATTTAATTTCTGTTTGTTTGACCCACAGCTTAGATTTACTTTTCTTCTTTTGGGATTCCATCATTTATAGCTGAAGAGGTAAAGCTTAATCTACCGCCTTGCAAAGTGAAGTCAATGATACTAAGTCCCAAGATTCCTAGTGGGATTGTCTCAGAAACCAGGAAGGAAGGGGCTTCAAACTTTTCCCTTAGAAAGACATTTTCTATTCAAACCCTTTATTTAATCTCTCTATGCCTCCACTTCTCCATTCACTTGTTTATGCTGTGCACTTATTTAGCTCAGCTGCCTATTCATTTATTCAACAGACATTTGCATAGCATATATCAATGTCAAAACCAGAATTTAGCAGATTGAAAAACAAGACAAATCAATGGTCTCAGAATTTAATAACAAATGCTAGAGCTTCCAGGCGAGAGCATGTCCCATGGCCTGTCTTGGATTTTAGATCTCTGATGTAAAGGCCATCAGAGAGAATAAGGAGGTAGGGCTAGAATTGACTACCCCTCCCCTTGTCCCCTCAGTCTTTCCATAAGAATACTGCTTCTGCTTTACATTTTCCATATTCATAATGTCTTTTCTAATTACAAAAGTAATATGTTTATTAAACTGAAAAATCCAAAAAGGTTTAAAAAAAGGAGAAAGAAAAAAATTATTCTAAAAGAGTTGCTGTGAACATGTTAATGTAATTTCTCTCTTTTCTGTTGTTTGAAAATCTAGTCAAGAATATTTTACATAGACCACCTTATTTTCCAGTTTTCACCTAATGTTATAACATAAGCATTTGCTTTTGTTACTCTCAACTAATCTACATTATTTTAATGGAGATACATTCTTCATTCTATGGGTATAACCTTATTCACTTAAGTAATCTCCTTTTGTTTGAGAGTATCTTTTCCCTTGCTTTTGTAAGCTTTTTTGTAAGCCTTTCCTTATAAACAATGCTGCTGTAGTGTTTTTGTGGATGGAAGCTTTACACAGTTCAGATTTTTTTTTTTTTTTTTTTTTAAGGAAGAATTCCCCAGAGTGTAATTACTGGATAAAACATGAATGGATGTTTTCAAGACTATTGACATGGATTGTCAAGTTATTTTCCAAAAGTGTTTTGCCATCTGCATTTCTTCTCCTGTGTCAGAATGTCTACTTCAGCTGTGTCCATCGTTAAGGAGGTAGGATGCATGGTTAAGAACCTAGGCTCAGAACCAGATTGCTCAACTGAAGTGCTTGCTCTGCCACTTACTCCATGATCTCAGACACTTTACTTAATCTCTTTATGTCTCTGTTCTCCCTTTGAAGAATGAAGATAAAAATAGTACTTCCTCATAGTGAGAATGAAATGAATTAATATATGCAAAGAGATTAGAATTTGCCTGGCACATGGCAAGCGCTATTTTAATATTAGTTGTTATTACCCCATCTACTACCACGGATATGACTGAGGCAAAAGATAACCGATGAAAATCTAACAGTGTCCTGCATCAGGGTGTGGTGACTTGAATAGTGTCCCCTAAATTTCATGTCCACTGGGAAACCTCAGAATGTGACCTTAGTGGAAATAGAGAGTTTGCTTATGTCGTCGAGTGAGGAGGCAGTCATACTGGGTCAGGGAGGACCCGAATCCAATGGCTGGTGTCCCTACAAGAAGAGGGAACATACAGAGACAGAGGAGAAGGCCCTGTGAAGGTGGAGGAAGAGACTGCAGTCACGCTTCCACAGCCTGAGGAATGCCTGTGGCCACCAGCGGCTGGAGGAGTCAAGGAAGGATCCCTAGAGCCTTCAGAAGAAGTATGTATGGGCCCACTGCACCTTGATTTCTGACCTCTAGCCTCCAGGCCTATAAGAGAATAAATTTCTGTTGTTTAAAGGCATCACATTTGCATAATTTGTTATGGCAGTCCTAGAACAGTGATACACAGGGTAATTCCATAGGTGCCATCAATAGGGAGTATACAGTTATTTACATGACACTGGTATGTCATCACCGTGAAAGGAAAATAATCAGGGCCCCCAAATCACTAAGCCAAAGGGAAAAGTCAAGCTGGGAGCTGGCAAACCTGCATCCCATTCTATTCCTACATAAGATCGCTACAAAAATAAAAAAGCTACACACCTCTCTCACAATTTGCCCACAAGGAAATTCCTTGTGGACAAAAGACAGAACTCAAAGTCATTCTCTTGCTCACATGAGACAAATGCATACAATCAAAGAATGCAACTGTTTGTTTCTTATCTAGCTGTGACCTGAAGCCCCCTCCCCACTTTGAGTTGTCAACTTTCCAAACCAAACCAACGTACATCTTACATATATTGATTGATGTCTCATGTCTTCCTAAAATGTATCAAACCAAGCTTTGCACTGACCACCTTGTGCACTCGTCCTCAGGAACTCCTGAGGCTGTGCCACTGCCATGTCCTTAATCTTGTCAAAATAAACTTTCTAAGTTGACTGAGACCTGTTTCAGATATTTTGGGTTCACATAGCCAAGCAGAATTGACATCATTTGAAGTCACCAGGGATTCCGAACAGAGTTGCAGGCCGGCGTCTCAGGGTGATCTTCCTGGGTGACATCAGTGAGCTGACAGACCCAGGCCACCTGTCGTTCTGCACTCCTCCCCAACCCCCTCCGCTGGCCCTGGCCAGGTTCCCAAGAGCTTCTGGATGGATCTTTGTTCTAATTGGCCATTGATAACATGGGCTCATTTCCCCATCCCCTCTGTGCTAGACTGTAATGATGATTGATGCAGGTAGCAAATGGCCTAGAGTCACCCTCACAGCCTTATTATTGCAGATACAATTACCACCAGGCTGAGCTTGCTGCTATAGTATCTGATAATGGACTCTAATTTGCCAGTGGGGTTTGTGTTCCTTTGTTCCCAGACAGAGATCCATTTCTAAACTAGAGAGTAATTCATAAATATTTTTCTCTCCAGTCATGAGGGAAGGCCAGATTTCATTGCACAACGAAAGGCGATTCTACCCAGAAGCCACTGCAGGAGGCTGTGCTCTGCTAGGGCATAGCTCACTGATCCAGGCTGTTCATTTTGCAGAAAAGCCCTCTGAGGCCCAGAGAGGTAATGTGACTTGTCCAAGGTCACACAGTGAATTAGCTAGATCTTTATGCTCTGACACTGCCTCTCTCTTGCTCCCTGAACTGGAGAATAAAGTAGTAAAGAACCAGGTGTTCTAAGCAGCCCTTTGGACTTGAGCCACTTTGACCTCTGCTTACTTGTAATAGTGATAGGAATTACGTTTCTTTAAAATAGTACACTTGTTGTTTCTAATAGTCAGAAGCTCATGGATGAGAATTTGGAAAAAACAGAAAAATTTAAGAAAAAATAACCATAAAGAGATGACTTCAAGGCCGGGCGCAGTGGCTCAAGCCTGTAATCCCAGCACTTTGGGAGGCCGAGACGGGCGGATCACAAGGTCAGGAGATCGAGACCATACTGGCTAATATGGTGAAACCCCATCTCTACTAAAAAATACAAAAACCTAGCCGGGCGAGGTGGCGGGCACCTGTAGTCCCAGCTACTCGGGAGGCTGAGGCAGGAGAATGGCATAAAACCGGGAGGTGGAGCTTGCAGTGAGCTGAGATCAGGCCACTGCACTCCAGCCTGGGCGACAGAGCGAGACTCCGTCTCAAAAAAAAAAAAAAAAAAAGAGATGACTTCAAGTTAGCATGTTTTATTCACTTACAATTATTTTATGTATATGTAAACATTTTTAATTTTTATTTTGGATAAAATTGAGGTGATATTATATATACAGTTTTATATTCTGTATTTTTCCATTTATTGCAGTTTAGTTATTTTCTCATATCATTAAATGCCATGCTGTATCTTCAAAAATGTGTTTGTATAATATTGTATTATACAGATGATGAAGTTATTTAAACATTTTTGCTATTGTCATTTAAGTGGTTTTATAATTTTGCAATTATAAATAACATTGTTGTGTTATTTATGCATACATATTTATGATTGTCTCTGATTATTTCTTTATAATAAATACAAGTAGAAGTTGGGGTCAAAGGCCGGGCATGGTGGCTCATGCCTGTAATCCCAGCACTTTGGGAGGCCAAGGCAGGTGGATCACAAGGTCAGGAGATTGAGATCATCCTGGCTAACACGGTGAAACACCATCTCTACTAAAAATATAAAAAATTAGCCGGGCGTGGTGGTGGGTGCCTGTAGTCCCAGCTACTCAGGAGACTGAGGCAGGAGAATGGCGTGAACCCGGGAGGCAGCGCTTGCAGTGAGCCGAGATCGTGTCACTGCACTCCAGCCTGGGCGACAGAGCGAGACTCCATCTCAAAAAAAAAAAAAAAAGAAATTAATGGCAAAAACTGCAATTACTTTCGCACCAATCTAATAAAAAGAAACAAATATTAAAATGCTTACACAATGACTAACACTTAGCAGACACTCCACAGATATTTATTGGTTTTGTTTTGAGCTTTTGCCATCAGTGAAAAAGAAGCCAGGCACTGGAATCTTCTAGGAAAAGGCCAGGGATTTTCGTTTTCCAAACAAGTGACTGGTGGTATGGGGAGGATACAGTAAGATTCTTCTGTCTGCCAACATGTAGGTCAATTCAATGGGATACCCAGGTAAAAGCTATTCTCAGTTGCTAATGTAATAATGAAAACAAATGCCAGGATTATAACAGCTCAAAGGACAGTCTCTGATCTGGCATTTTGAGGATGCCAATATCTTCCTATGGAGACGATTTGGAAAGTCAAACTGCCTTCAGAAAGTTAGGATTTACCTAATGCCATGGGCAACTGCAGTCAAGTTTGATGTGGCTATAAGCTCTTCTTGGAGGAGGAAGAGGAGAGAATGGTTGTGTGTGAGACCAAGAAAATGAAGCTCTAACTCTGCATCCTTCCCTGAATTCTTGAGTTCCCAAAAGCAAACAATGAAGTGGGGCAGAGAAAACCTGGAGGAAGTAAACTAAAACCAATCAAACATGCGCCTTGAATCAGCTGGACTTGGGTGCAAATCCAATCTCAGACCCACCCTAGCTATGTGACTTTGGGCAAGCCACTAGACCTTGACCTCCCTTGGTTAGTTTCCTGCTCTGTAAAAGGATGCTGATGCAGGCTACTCAGCAAGATTTTTAATTAGGCTAAAAGGAAGTGAATATGAGACAGAAAGTGGCCAACAAGTGGTACGCAGTATTACTATTATTTATGTAACATTGGTTAATCCTTTTTATTTTATTTATTTTATTTTATTATTATTATTTTTTGAGATGAAGTCTCACTCTGATGCCCAAGCTGGAGTGCAGTGGCACGACCTCAGCTCTCTGCAACCTCCAGTTCCCAGGTTCAAGTGATTCTCCTGCCTCAGGCTCCTGAGTAGTTGGGACTACAGACATGCACCACCATGCCTGGCTAATTTTGTATTTTTAGTAGAGATGGGGCTTCACTATGTTGGCCAGGCTGGTCTTGAACTCCTGACCTTGTGATCTACCCACCTCAGCCTCCCAAAGTGCTGGGATTACAGGCGTGAACCACTGCACCCGGACAACACTGGTTAATCTACTACCTTATTTTCATATTTTCATAATAAAATGGGAACAATAAAAATAATTTTTCCATGTCTCAATGTTATGGAGATTGTTGACAAAAAGATGTGGAAGTATCATGTCATCTGTGCAATGCTACAAACAAGTCGAGACTGGAAGGGAAGGGGCTCACCCCTGAGCATAGGGAAACAAAGGGTAGCAGCTGCTAGAAGGTCTGGGACCTGGGGCTTTCTCCTGTGACTCCTGCATTACCTTAGGTCTGCAGTTGGCTCACCACTTCCTTAGGCATTGCCCTCCAGTCATTGATTCCTAAGTGCCAAGATTATTCAAATGTTTAGTGTGACAAAATCATGCATGTCAGGATTTAAGCACATCCTACAGAGACAGTTTAGGATAATCAACACTTGTTTCCCAATAAGGCCTGTGGCTCCTGTGGTCTGCTTCCAAGGCGAAGGCCTAATCATAGCAGTCAAGGAGCTATGTGGAGAAGGATGAGTGGGTGGTGCTTCCACCAACAGGCTCTGAACCTCCAACACCAGAATGGCCTCCTTCTGGCATTTTGCTGGTTACAGATCCATCTGAGAGGGTCTGAAATGTCAGACCCACTCCCACCCACCTGACACAATGCATCCCTTCTCTCAAAAGTTCACCCTCTGTAGTCGTCATCAGGTGTGTATCAGATTGTGGCCAGGGCAGGTAATCTATGTGAAGCCAAATGCCATTGATGACATGATTTTGAGCCACTTAAATTAAATACAATGAAAGATTTTCATGAGACTGTGGCATTAGGCAGGATTCCCAACAGAAAGGTCAGTACTCTTAAAGGCTTTTTATGCTTTTGACTTACATTTAAGTTCTATATAATACTCAAACCAAACCCAAATGTACTCACTGCATTATTATTTGTAGTAGAAATTAGGAATCCTGCATACATTTTAGACTTTTCATCCTGTGATCCACAATTTCAAAAGATGCCAACAAAAGATGATTTCACCAAAGTTGTTGATTTGGGAGAACACAAGGGGAGGTGCAAATGATATTTCACAAGTTCTTCTTTGATGACTCTATTGCTTACACAGAGAGATGTGAGTGGATAGACCCATCATTCAGTAAATATTTAATGAGAGCTTGCCATATGGGTACTGCTTGCTGGTGGCCAGAGCCCCCTGGGAGTGGGAATAGAGAGGAGGAAATGCGTGACAATGAGTGGTGCTGAGAAATTAGAACTGAAGGCTTGGCCCCCAAGGAATGAGGG